ACCCCAGCCTTCTCCATGTTTTCAAAAGTCTCTAGAGCTTCCCTCCCCATCCCATTCATTGCAAAACCAGAGATAGCTGAAGTCCACGATACCAAATTCTTCCTCTAATCAGGTAATTCCTGCAAGAATCTATTCACACTTGCTATACATCCACACTTTGCATACAAATCAATTAATGCATTGGTAATGCGTATGTCAGAGGAATTGAACCCTCTCTTCTCTGCATATCCATGAGCTGATTGACATATCTCAATACACCCAATGTTTGCAATACCAGGAAAAACGGTCAAAAGAGTAACTTGAGTAGGTTCTATACCATCAACTTGGATCATTTCCCTGAATAAAGTTAAAGCTTTCATGGGCTGATTCCTGCGTGTTTATCCATCAATAACAAGGGTCCATGAAACTACACTCCGAGAAGGCATCTGATTAAACACAGAAAGTGCAAGTTCAACCTCACCCCATCTAATCAAACCAGTGATAAAAACATTCCAAGTAACTAAGCTTCTTCGTGGCATTTGATAGAACACTTGTGCGGCTTCAACTAAAAGACCCCAACTTGAGTACATTTGCAACAGCCCAGTTTGCACATACATATGAAACTGAAACCCAACCTTGAAAACGAGGGCGTGAAGTTGAGTCCCAAAGCGGGTGCAGTTTGGATTGGCAGAAGCGTGGGAAAGAAAGGCAAAAGAAAAGGTGTCAAGGGAAGGGTATTGAAGAAAGTGAGAGAGTGTTGGGTGTACCTAAAGAAGTGAAGAGCTAAGTGGGGTGAAGGGCCGGCCACGGGAGTAACAGCGGATGACGTTGTTCAAGAGGAGTAAACAAGAGGAGGTGTGGTGAAAAGGGTAGTGAAAAGAGGCCAGAAGTGATAATGTAACAGTGAACTAGTTGCAGAATTTGGGGTTGAGAAGGATGTTTGAGAAGAAGAGAGAGCAAGTGTTGTGGATGTTTAGGTTTGGGAGAGAATGAAGGAGCTGCGATTTCAAGACACCGAAAACGGTGAGAAATGGTGGTGCTGGATATGGCTGCCGCTGTTACAAAACCTGTAAGGGAGAAAGGGTGCTTTGGTTTCAAGAGTGACATTTTACCAACCATGCTCCATAAAACCATGTTCCACAAAACCAAGGCTAAAAATACGTGTAATTTCTATTGTTAAATAAAATCATTTTAAATATTGTAGCTTTTTTTTTACTTCTCTTTATTTAATTTTTCGAAGTAAATATGATTTTTTTTTTAATTCACAGACAACAAATCACATGATACTGGAAGATGGTGAGAATCACTAAATCAATAAACTATTTTGAAATTCAACCCAAGATGCACGTTCTCCATAATGGATCCAAGCAATTTGTCATCAAGATCATATAACAACATAACCAAGAATTGTTACTAGAAGATTAAAAATATAATCAATACGGTGTTTGTTAAAAAATGATTTCTGGAAAGTAATTTAATTTAAGTGATCAGTTTACCCAAAATAATAAAAATATAATAAATAATCATTTTATTAAGAAACACTTTCTCAAAAATAATCACATCATTAATTTTTAATCATATAAGAATTCCTAAAAAAAAAATTATAGCACCGACAAAAAGAATAATGAATGCCGACATGTGTATTTATTTTAGGACACCATATATACACGTTGTTGCACATTTTGTTACTTAAATTTATTTATTTTTTTCATGATGGTCCACCGTAAATTTGATTTGTTTTAAAAAATATATTAGAAACGGTTGAAGTAGGTTTTAGGGATAATATTGCCATAATGTTTCTGAAAAGGTAAAATATTACTTCATATTTCAAAATAACATTTCTTTTTAAGTTTTTCTTTTCTAAAAATATAAACATAAAATTGTTGATTCTACATTATGTTTACGATATTTTGCTATTAATCAATAATGTTTACGATATCTTATTCCATATTTTAAATCGAAACATGTTTATTAAAATGGTGGAAGATTGTTTGTGGAGTATTGTCAGAAGTAATATGTGAAAGAACCTACTTCTGTTAAAAAGAATAGACGGCAAATGTGAGTCCCAAAATAGAATTTATTTTCCAAAACATGAATTTGCCAGAATGATTCTCATGCTGCTGCTGCAGCTGCAGGAATGACAATGATAAGGTATAGATATAATAAAAACAGAAACAGAGGAATGAACTTAAAAACCAACAAGCTGTGTACATGACACCGAAAAGAAAAGATTTATGATGAAGAGATGCATTTTGAAGCTAGCTAGTCCTTGTACTTCAACTCAGATACTAGGAAACCAGGCATATCGAAGGAGGCTGAAAATTTCTCAACATCAACTTTGAGATCTTCGATAGCCTTATTGTTCACCAGGCCCTTGTTGAAATCCTTCAAAAGCTTGCCATACTCCTTCTGGATCTCCAGCGTTAGAACAACTGCACGGTGAAGGAACTCTCCGATCTGTTCAAAGTCCTTCTCAACCAACCCCCTAGAAGTCATGGCTGGGGCACCTGTAAACAGATCACAAACTCCTGTCAAGTACTCATGCAAAATTATGAATTCTGCTAATCTGTCATAAGAACACACCGAATGACTCAGATCACATTATATAAATAACAATGATAATTGGTTTGGCAGTAACATTACATAAACAGGGATTTCAATTTTGGCTTCAGTATAAAAGGCATGCACGAAGTCTCTATTCTATGAATCTAGTTCGCCTTACACTCTAAACGCATTAGATTCAAAAGTTTGGAAGAGAAGGTGTTACCAATTCGTACTCCTCCAGGAGCCAATGCGCTGCTATCACCAAAGACAGCATTTTTATTGACAGTAATGTTGCAGAGGTCACAAAGTTTCTCTACCTTGTTGCCTGGGAGAAGTGTGTGGGAAATGCATCAAGAAATTGAAGTGAGGTGTTATGGTTAATGTATTTAGTATGAGTAGAAGCTTACCAGTTAGGCCAAGAGGACGGAGATCCCACAAGACAAGGTGATTCTCAGTTCCTCCGGTGACAAGACTGTATCCCTTGCTCATCAAATAATTACCAAGTGCAACTGCATTTGCCTTAACCTGCTTCGCGTATGCCTTGAATCCTGGGCTCACAGCCTGTTTCAGTGCAACCGCAAGTGCCCCAATCTGGTGATTGTGAGGACCACCCTGGAGGGAAGGGAACACCGCAAAGTTGATTTTGTCTTCAAAATCGTACACTGCATTCTCGGGTTGCCCTTTCTTCGGCGGTTTAGGTCCCTTCCGGTAGAAGATCATACCGGCCCTAGGACCCCTCAAGCTCTTGTGGGTCGTCGTGGTCACAATGTCACAGTACTCGAATGGATTGTTAGCTTCCTGCATCATCATTCATTTCAAAAACCAACCCAAAACGGATTTCTGGAAAACATTTGAAGAAAAACACAGATCTGATATAGTGTTTACCTGAGCAGCAACAAGACCACTGATGTGAGCCATGTCACAAAGCAAGAGAGCACCGCACTTGTCGGCTACCTGTCTGAACCTGGCATAGTCCCAGTCCCTGGGGTAGGCACTGCCACCACAGATGATCAGCTTGGGCCGGAAATCCAAGGCTTTCTCCTCCAACCTATCGTAGTCGATGAATCCGGTGGTGGAATTCACCTTGTAAGGCAAACTCTCAAAGTAAATGGAGGTGGCAGAGATCTTCTTCCCACCGGAGGTGTAGTAGCCGTGGGTGAGGTGGCCGCCGGAGGGGAGATCCAAACCCATGATGCGGTCGTGGGGCTGGAGCACGGCAGTGTAGGCGGCGAAGTTGGCCGGAGAACCGGAGTAGGGTTGGACGTTGACGCCCCATCGGGAGGGATCGAGATGGAAGGCCTCGAGGGCGCGAGAACGGCACAGGTTCTCAATCTGATCGATGAACTCGTTGCCACCGTAGTAGCGGTTGCCAGGCATACCCTCGGAGTACTTGTTGGTGAGGGCACTCCCCAGCGCCTCTATGACAGCGAAGGAAGTGAAGTTCTCCGACGCTATAAGCTCTATTCCCCGACACTGGCGACGCTTCTCCTTCTCAATGAGATCGTGGATTTCTGGATCCACCGTCGCCAACGGCGTGTTACCCCAGGCACTCACTGCTTCCATCCTTTGGCTATGCTTCTCAAGACACCCAAACGAAGAACCAAGATACCAAGAACTGCAGAAGTGTACACTCTCATCTCATCCCGTCTCCCTTTAAATAAAGCCACTCCTCATTTCCCCACCATATCTTCATTTACCATTCTACCCCTCACACCCTTTCTTTTTGTCACACCATCTATGTGAGCCCCACAAGCTTCAATTTTCTTTCAATACAAGGAAAGCTTTCAATTTTACTGGAATTTGGAAGTTTATGCATCACTACTGAAAATTATTTCTCTGATCTCCCATGGATTGTAGTGTAGTTGGTGGCTAAACTTGCTGTGAGATTGTCCAAAGAGAGTTGGTGAGGGTGGCATGGTCATTTCCTTCTTTTACCAACCCCCGCTCATTCGCGCTTCTAGCTGCACTGTTTCCTTCACACTTACTCCCAGACCGCGCTATCACTTGGAATTCAAAATTACTTTATATTTTATTTGAATAATAAAATTCAAAATTACTAAGCGACCATAAATATTAAATTGTTTAAAATGTATAGGATTAATATGAAAATGAATAAAATGAAATGATTCCTAGTTAAATTGAGAATGTGAGAGTGAGGGATTGATCCGGAAGGAAAGGAATGGGCTTGGTGAAAAGGAGGGTATATAAAGAACATCGATCCAAGAACAAGAGGAAGAACATCGTTAATCGATAATGGCGCTGCTCTGCTGGAGGCTATGATGGAGGGTCTTCAGGTTCTCACTCTGGGAGGATGTTGTCTCTGAAGCCGACATCTTCGTGATCACCACCGGGATCAAGGACATCATCACGGTGAGCCACATGAAGAAAAAATGAAGAACAACGCGATCGTGTGCAACATTGGGCACTTGAGAACTACCCTGGTGTGAAGCGCATCAGTATTAAGCCTCAAACCGACAGATGGGTTTTCCCCGAGACGAAGACAGGCATCATTGTGTTGGCCGAGGGTCGTCTGATGAACTTGGGGTGTGCGACGGGCCACCCCTGCTCCTTCACCAATCAGGTCATCGCTCAGCTTGAGCTGTGGAAGGAGAAGGGTACTGGCAAGTACGAAAACAAGGTTTATGTTTTGCCCAAACAGCTTGATGAGAAAGTTGCTGCCCTCCACCTTGGCCAGCTAGGAGATAAGCTCACCAAGCTCACCAAAGATCAGGCTGATTACATCAGTGTCCCTGTTGAGGGTCCATACAAGCCTGCTCATTACAGATACTGATCAGAGGGACAATCAAGACAATCATCCTTTTTCAAATTTCTGCTAGAATAGGAGCTTCTTTGTATTTTTCTTTTCCTAGGATCACAATACGACCAAATGGGTCTGCTGCGGCTGTGTGTGTTATGATTTAGCAGCTACCATATTTATTCTAGTCCATCCTTCCTATTCGAAACAGAATATGCAAAAATTCAGAAAAAAAAAATCTTGTTATTTGACGTCTCCTTCCAAACCGTCTCTCACAAGTTATGTTTTCTAATTCGTTTTCATGTGGTCGCTGAAACTGAAACTGAAACTCCCTGTTAGCTCTAACCAAGTACACCAATTCCGTTCAGCACACAAATTAAAGTGTCTGTCTACATCCAATTTTATAATTCTATGATGTCCTCGTGTTTTATTTCAAACGCTTCAACTAACCTGCTGATATAATTTTCTCAAGAACATCACGTCACTGAAATTTATGTTATCAGTTGAACTCAAAGATTGATTAATATCATGTAAAATAAGAAGCTTCTTATTATATATTGCATTGATATAGTAAGAGGACATCGAGTGTTGTTTCATTCTCTTATTTTAAGATATTGTGGTTGGAAATGAGCTAAAAAAATGGTTTGAAGTTGAAAGTCCTGGAGTGGAGAGTCTGAAATAGTTTGCAGATGAAGAGTTCCGGTGGCATATTGTTAAGAATAAGCTGAATAAGATTGAGAAATGGATCAGAATCAACACATACGTTTATTTTAAAAGTAGTAAATTAAAATCAAATGTTTCCAAAAAAAAACTTTGATCGACTCATTGTAGCTCCACTCTACTATCAGGATGTTTATGCAGATATTTTATGTTGGATTTTATATATGCCTAATAAAAATATTTATTCAATTTAAAATTGATTTTTTTTAAGAACCTGTTAATCCTAACCTTACCAATGCTAATAGGTCTATTATTTTGTAAAGAAAAATAATGGAGAAAGTGGGTAGAGTTTGGATGCTTAAAATTGGATCCAGCAGACGCACTCACTCATGCACATTGCACAGCATGATTGCGCCCACCCAATACCAATAGCAGCAATGATCAAGCCATCATCATAACTGCGTTTAGAAGCTTCAAAATGGTTTCCACCTAACAAAACCAAGATTCACGTTTACAGATTCTAACATTCATTTCAAATCTAATGAGCCAAGTCAAAGTTTTCAAACTAAGCATTTTAGCTTTTCTACATTTCACATTCACACTATTCTAACAACGCCACATGGATCATCTTCGGTTCTTACAAATACAGTTGGACAAGGGTCCCATGAAAATCCCACAAGTGACCAGACATAGCACAACAATATTTAATTGTTTGTGAATAATGTTTAGAACCTGCTCAACATCTTTCCAACTTCTGTCCAGATTCTATCATTTTAGGCAAATTTTTACTACCATGCATTGAAAAATATGACCGCCGTGTAAGCTACTTTACAGAGATGTTACCATTTAAAACAACCAACAACGACTAACACATTATTATTTACCATATCCAGGCAAAAACTAGATAATATAATGCCATAGAAGCTTATTTTGACAAGTATACATCTTTCATATTCTGACAATAATCGCAAGCAATATCATCCAACTTTATGACGTGGAGAAAGAAATTGTACGAGCCAGTTGGATGTAATTGCTATAAAGACGAATGAAGGAATTGATCCTTCTATTTTCGGAAGGGATGGTACTCTGTTACATAACACTCTGCAACAATGAATTGATGTGGTTAAATAAGCTAAAGGAGGAATGGGAAATCAGAGTGCCTTTGTACCCAAGGAAAATAATTCCTATTAAGGTAACATAGAAGTAGAAAAACATTGATCACCTAACATATATGCGTAAGAAATGGTTTTTAATTTTCTGAACAGTCAACCTACAACAACAGTAACAAAAGATCCGAAAGCCACTAGTTCAGAAAAAGGATGGCAAGTAACATCTTTTCTTACCTTATCAGAAACCTCAAAAGCAGTATTAGATGCAACTGCCTGTCAAGTCTGGTGCTAATTGGCAAAAGCCAGTGACAGACAGCTTTGATGACTAAATTTTGGAAAAAAAAGTTTTTTGTCATACTTTATCTCGGTCTATTTGTTAATTGATTCTTAAAAATGTTTCCTCCAACTTTTCACTCTCCTGTTCTCTGGTTACTACGCCAACATTAGCCCCAGATACAAGCACTGCAGAAGAGATGATGCTAGATGCTGTCTACTAAACATTTCTTAAGTCACGTTATATAATTAAAACTCGCAGGTCACAAAGAGTATGGAACTACAGACTTTCCTATCAGACACCTCGACTTTAATGATGGATTGATTGTGCTTTTTACTTCGGATTTAAGTTCCTATCTGGGTTAAGCTTCAAAATTAAGTTACATAACTTGGTTAACTATTCAAACTGCAAAGGCTACTTAGGTGACCAAGATTAGCATAGTCCTGTTTTAAACAATAAGACATGATAGCTTGCGTTTGATCCACAAAATCTTGCTCCGGGAACATTCAAGAGAGTAAAGAAAAGTAGAATTGAAAAACCTGCGGCTGTATAGATTCAAGATCCCACAGTAGTACTCAATAGTCTAAAATTAGATCAGGGCAAAATGGAAACAGGCAATAAGGGATTGTTTTAAATGAGGTGGTTTTGCAATTCATTTTTTTTAGATGTTATTTTGTCGACCCACATGAAGAAATCAACTTCTTTTCCCCTGCAATCAACATCTGGTTTATATTAGGAGCTATCTTCTACACTACAAGGTTGGTTTGTTTCATTATCTCCTATTAAATCAAATAAAAGTATTCTTTCCATCGCCTCATGCGATTGATTTTTCCAATTCCACTCTAAAAGTTGACATTTGCTGACACCAGAACTTCAAAAAAAACCTAGCTTCTGGGAAAATAATTATCCCTCTTAGCATTTTCTATCCCAACCCAACAATGGAAGACCAAATTAATCTCAAGGAAAAAGTTAAACGCTGCAACTAATCCCCATGCTAAATTGTTGTATGGATAATTTTTTTTTTTTTTCTGTTTTGCTAAAAAGGATATCGTTTAATTTTTCCAGACCCTGCTTCCAACAAAATGATATCACCAAATTAAAACAATAACCACAACTTCTAATCGTATCTGTAACAAATAAGCATCTTCTGGGAAAGAAAAATCGATACTTTCATAGACACGCCGGTCATATAAATGTTCAAAAGTAAAACAGAAAGCATTTAAGGGGGTGATCTTAACTACAAAGGAAAGCTAATGGGGGGAAAGAAAGGGGAAAAGAGAACAGAGAAGAGTTTCCCCCATTTCATTGTGAGTTCTAACCTATCAAGTCTTGATGTCGTGACCTCTACATGCAGTAATTACCTCACAGCCTCTATTATAAGGATGGGCTGGTATTGCATGACAATTGTAGTAAGAAGCTCCAGCCCTGTCACAGGGAACCATGTCTTTCTTGAGTGTCTCATAGCTAATGTACTTTCTCTGCATTTCCAGAACTCTTCTGTTGGTCTCCGAATCCATGTCTGGGTCGGTCAAACTCAGACACTCTCCAATGGTTTTGGTGCAAACCCTTTTGGTCATCACAGCCATTTCATTTTGTTTCAACAAATTGAGGTCCACAAACGATAGGCCGTTGCAGATTGGAAGATGGGCGTGGAGCAGAAGAAGGGTGAGACAGAGGGAGACAATGGAGAGGAATCTGGGTTGGGACATGCTTGTGTTTTGAGATCTTTTGTTTTTGAGTCAGTGAAAGTGAGATGCGTGATTGCTGGAGGGTTATAAATAGGGCAGTAGGTGTAGGAGTGGCGCAGCACAGTAGCATAGCATAGCATAGCATAAGCAGATGTTGTGTTACAACTAGTCAACCATATTAGTGCCATCATTACTGTCAGCAACGCAGAATGAGATAAATGATTACATTCCAGAATTAGTACACACTCACTAATTTTATTCATTTTTTCAGATTGGTTAGGTTTAGTTTCATCATCCTCTCATCACATAACATCAATGCTTCATTATTCAATTCATCACTCAATCTTTCTCCCTTAATTACCTCTTATTTGTCTTACTTGTTTTTCACTTTTCCCATAAATAGTGTTTTCCTCAAATATATTTGAATTTCTTCTCGTGGTGTATTAGGAACACAGTAGAAATACACAAGTTCTTTTGTTGTATGCGCATTGTAGGTATCTTTCATATCACAGTCAAAGAGTCAATTTCCTTCTGGATGTTAAATTCTTTTAATAAAAAATTACATACACACCAAAGAAGAATCCTTTTACGACTCGAAAACCATCCCCCAGAAAATAAAATACATTAACAATCGCATAACTAATCACTTGTCAAAACGTAATTGACAAATTCAAATACTATTACTATTGTAGTTCATATATTTTTATAAAAAAAATCCGTCGATTAATTATATAAAAAATAAATTCTCAAAACATTACTTCTCTAAAACTACAAATCTAATCTGACTAAATTATTGATCACAGAGTGATTCACAAAGACAATAAAATGACAGTTTTAACAGTCCAAAAAGGCTACCGAGAATGCTGAAACAAAAAAGAAAAGCAAGAATGGAGAAAGGATACGGAAAACTAAAGTTAAACTGAAACAATTAAGAATAAACCCTTTGAGTTAAAATATGTTAACCAGAAAAGTGTACTGATAGACCATTTTGTTATGTGTGAATAAACCTTTTCCAATCGATAAGAAATAAAAATGAAGCAAGCAAACTGGCCTGGCAGAGAGCATTTGTAATAAGGTAGTTAACTTTGATAAAGATAAACTTATGCATTTCGGACAATAAAAGTAAATTAAGGTGTGTTTATTTGTAAATTTGGAAAACAAAAAGTAGTACCTATAAAACAATGATTGAATTACCGTGGAAAATGAAGTTTTCAGTGCAAGAAGTCCTACATCTTAGTAAAACAGAAATGTAAGACATATGTATGTGGCTCGAAGAAAGTAACAAATTATTGTGCTTTTCTGCCTCTTCAAATATGTAACGACATCAGACATTCTCGTTATCGTGTTCAACAGTCTCGATCAAGTAACAACGAGTACGACTGAATTAAAAATAGCATCTTGTTCATTTTATACAGCACTAACACGGCTCAGAAATCAAGAGTTTTATCTGTTGCTGATGTCACCCCAACTTTCCATCATATTACGGGAATAGAATGATATGATTTAACTTATGTCGTCTAGACATAAAAATGGAAAGAAATGCAGTGCAGAAGTGGCAATCAAAACGCAGAACCGAAAACAATGCATTTCCAATTCAAACTTTTACTACCCATCCGACAAAGAAATGCCACGCAAGTATTCATAATGTTTTCTGACTCTGTTAAATAAAAACATTCTGAACATTAATGTCTACAAAAACTGTCACGTAACAAGCTAGTACCTCGTATACATCAGTGATAATGTGTCCAAGAGAAGTGCAGATTATCCATATTTTACACAAAATAGGCATAAAAATCGATGTCAAGTTTCAAATAGTATGTTTAATCTATCATGCAAAACTCACATACCAATATCAAAACTAGTATTAAGGATCCAGCACAATATGGTCAGAGTGTGAGCTGATCCATGTCCATAACATTTCCAGAGATTCCATGAACGGATCGCCCTTCATCTTGATCAGCAACATAAGCATTTACTTTGTGGGTGGACATTGAGCCTTCGGTGTCAGAACAACCTGGTCTTTCAGTAAGGAACTGTTCCCAGAACACATCATTTACTCTAACTGGAGCAGTTGGGGTAGCCTCGGCTAAATTACTGACCTCGTTTAGACTTCTGCTTGAAGAGGCTCCAGCGTCATATTCTTTAATATCATCGGCACAAAACTTTGATCCATCCAATTTGCCAAATTCTGGACAGTCTATTAGGGATGGGGATCTATCTGGGAATGTGTTTCTCTTGGCTAGTAGTGGAGAAGATGCCAGAGATAGATTCAAAAGACAGGATATATAACTGTCACCATCTTCATTATTTGAGTCCAATTTGGGGCTCTCGGTAGCTGTGGCGGTTCGTGATAAACAGGAATGCATCTCAAAATTAAGAGACTCTCCGGTCTGTGCAATCTCTGCTATCTCAGGTAGCATCATATTATGTGGGCTTTCTCCATCTTCGTTTGAACTCTGTGTACTACACGACACCACCAAGTTCATTTCTGAAACAGCAGGTGACAGTTCCAGTGTGAGTTTATCGGAGAATTCTTGATGAGAAACATTTCCAAATTCAGTTCCAAAACATTCAACAAAGGTATTTCCAGCAACGTGGTCACGATCATCAAGCCGAGGAGGTAATCGCCTTTTCTTGTTATAAGCCAGCAAATCCATGGACTCGATTTTGCGAGTGATCTGTTGAAGAAGAGTAGGATTGTGAAGAGCGTTTTGAAAGAAGGTGAGCAAATTTTGCTGCCTCTCCTCCATGCCATCCAATCGCAGAAGCAGATCTTGAAGATAAGTCTTGGCAGCGGAGTGGTGTTGTTTGAAGCGGAAAATATTGGATTGAATGGTGGCCTTGTCGCGTGAAAGTTTCTCTATCTGTTCCTCAAATGCGGACCTTTCCGAATCCACGACGGGTTGTGTGAGTGAGTGACTGTGGATAGGTTTCCTGCGGTGAATATTCTTTAGAAGATGCTTTTGATCTTTCACAAAATCTTCATTAGCAAACTCCCATCGCTCAGGGTGTACTTTTCTAAATCCCTGACAATAGAGGTGCGTAGGGAAATTTGGCAGAGCTCAATAGTACGCAAAAGCAATCGATCGTTGTTTCATTTTAAACAATTTTGAATTCAGAGGCAGAGTATAATATATATATGTAATGACACGAATGAATAACTCTGCCATGATATAAGCAGAAAAAGAGAATGGCATGATGCATGCAGAGAGAGAGAGAGAGAGAAAGAGAGAGAGAGAGAGAGAGAGAGAGAGAGAGATACATAGGTGTTAAGCTGACGGATGAAGCTGGAGAAGTTGTTGTGTTTGAAAAAAGTGGGAAGAAGAAGGCGAGAAAATTCAGCAGGGTTCCAAACGATGAAGGTGTTGTTGTTGGAACTCCACGATACTATTTCCTCCGTCGATGAATCATCCACCATCTCGTATGTCTTCAGTAGGAACGGTGCTGGACCTGCCGGAGCTGCCGGACTTGACGAACCTGATCCTGACCCTGTTCCCTCCATTTTCTTCTTCTGATGATGATAGATACAACCCAACACAAAACAAAACACAAAAACACGCAACTTCTTATTCCTATTCCTATTCCTATTTGATCTTACGTAAGTACAGTTGACTTTTACTTTGTCTCTGTTAACGAACCCCTACCGGATCGATGCTTCCGTAAACACCAATTCACCGACTTACCATTTTCTTTACCATGCAACACCTCTTACTGTTGTCTATTTAATCATATATTATTATCTAATCCTTTTACTTAAGTCGCTGTGTGAAAGATAAATGCATATTGATTAAGGTGATGAAAATGTTTTTCTCCAACGTTTGACTTTGACTATCCTGCAGCACCCAGAACAGACACGCTTCTACCTTCCAAACCTAACACATTCATTTCACTCTAAATCAACGATGACCACCGGTCTAAATCCAACTTCCTTTTTTCTTTCTACTTTCACCATTTTAATTAAATACCTTTATTTTATCTTTCTTAATTATTTCTTTTTCAACCTCTCCAAACTAAACTTTTTGTGTTTCTTCATTAGTGTATTAGTGTTGAGTCAATCCAAAGTCTGAGTAAAACATAATAAATAAAAAAGACTCGTTAATTCATAATTTTAAAGTTTTGGATAATCCTTTATATTGGACTCATAATTCATAAGTGAACTTCCTAATCTAATACTTTGATAATCAAGATTTTCATAAGAAAATATTATTTAAAATTAGGTTTCTGATTTTGGTAAATATTTCTTTTTTCAGTTTTTTAAATAACCAAAATGAGAGTAAGATTTTGGATTTAAGCTAATACGAGAGTATTCATTTATTTTAAAAATTACAAAAGAAAAATGACCAAGGCAATCCTTCTTATTAAACTTTTTTAGAAAACTATTTTCAGGTCTGAATATATTCAACCAAATCATTATTTATATTTTGTTCTTCGTGAATTTCGTCATTTCACGTAATAGATTTTGTTAACTAACTACTTTAAAAAAAATCAATTGCATTTTATTGCAAATTAATCAGAATTATGGACATATATGGAGATTTTAAATCATGTAATAAAATTTCCAACAATCACTCAATCTCTTTTAAGAGATGTACTTAATTTTGCGCGTTGTTACTTTTTACAGCCTCCTTTTTTGTTATTCACAATCTCATTTTTTATCTGACAAATACCCTTAATATTGCTCATTTGAATTGAGTTTTTCCTTCTTCTATAGTTTTAAATAAGTTAATAATGATGTTTACAAGTTTAAATTTTGAAATAAAAAAATATACAGGAAAAAAGAGATCATAACGTAAACATGTAAGAATTAAGATATAAAAAGATTGCATGAAGAATTTATTATGATTCACTCATAAGTACGGTTCTTCATTTTACTTGAAGGAATTTTTTAAGTATATTATGCTATTATCTTTTTAAAATATTTTCTATTTGATGATGAAACCTAAAGGAAATGAAAAAATCCCCCAAAAAAAAACTTGGTATTTGTTGATTTTCATACAGTTAAACGAGAAAAAAATTTAAAAAAATATGTATGATCTATTTCACAAGGGT